TTATAGGCAGGAAAGAGTAACCGGTATCCGGAGAACCGGTTGGCCGCGAAGGGTAGACGGGAAAAATCGGTAAAAAAGCGAGTTTGCCAGCTTTATCGCGACAACCCTAGTGTCTGCGCGCGCTATCGATCAAAAGTTTGGCTACAGTGTCCACGTCTGGTGGGTCGGCGCGTAATGGAGCACGAACGCACGACTGATTCTTAAGTCTCGGAATACATAGACGAAAGAAAGAAACATCGGTCCTAGAAACAACTGAGAATTGGGTCAAACGTTTTAGTCAGCCCTTGCGGAGCTATTAGGAAGACGTACAAGTTCTTGGAATGGATAAAAATTATATGAGCATAGCAAAGAACTTTGCTTAATGTGTTTAGGAAAGTAACGACTCTTGGCGATCGTGACGATACAACAGACGTATTTAGAGTTTGGTATCGCTAAACTATGCCACCGACAAACTTTCTAAGATAAAAGTTTACAAAACACAAGTTGATCGTATAGTTGTGAATTGTGATAGGGATGAAAGTATTGTAGAAACGACATATCGTTCGTAGATAAAACATGATTTACAACTTTCTAAGGCTGCATTCAAGTTTATGTATCTCTGTTAAACGAAAGATGGAAATCAAAGAGATAAGTAATGGTATAGATAAAATATCAATTACATTAATCTGTGATGATTCGAGAGTGGAAATTAAAAAGAACGGGTAATCGAAAGCCACGTGTACGTGGTGTTAAAAAAGTCTGCAGTTTTTCAATACATGTGCAAACGATCTGCTGTTTATCGTCGTTCGTATTTATTGAAATCTGATATTGATCGAGAGCTAGTTGGAATTGATTATCGATCGTAGGCTCTACGACTGTCGAGTTTGTCCGGACATCACCAGAGAAGTACATCAAGCATCCCGTGTACGTTGTACACGTACAAAGTTTGAGACAGTAATGTGCACGACACGTAATACGCTCGGTCGCCATGATTGCTCGGCAGTGCGAGGCTCCCATTGGCGTACACGATGGCCTTTCTGCACGCTGCTCGCCATAGCGTGTATATAGGACACCGTTGCGTCAAGTCGATTGCTTGGAAAGCATTTTCTTGCGTCGACAGGTACATTAATCTATAATCCGAGTTTATTATCGTCGTTTGCAAAAGCACCGTGTTTGCGATAATCTGACCTAATGCATACAGAAACGCAGCATTAGCATCGCCTGGGATTTTCACTCGATTTATCATCTCAATTGGCGAATCGGTCGATTCCTTGACCTATAATGACGCTCGTAACGCGAAGAACGGTTCGAAAGAGGTAACGAGTCGGCGTTCACGGTGCACTACGTTTTTACGTTCTCATACATTTCAAGTGAAACTCCTCTTTTTACAGATATTCTGTTAGACCGAAGTCTAACTCGAACTCGAATAACCACCTTAAGCACGCAAGGCCAGCGAGTAGTTACGCGAACTGTTCGTCGTCTTATGCAACTCGAAACTTGTCGCAAATTTTATTTTCCGCGCAAAGTTTCGCGTCGAATTCCGTCCCGAGCGAAGTTGCTGGTTGTCTTCTCTGTTAGAAGGACGACAAGCTCGTTCCGTGCTGGTCCAATTTGACCGCTTCCTCGAAAACTTCGTTACGAAGTTTACGAGCGGACACCGATCGCAGGCCCTTGGAATCTAAACGCCCGGTCAGTTGTAAGCCAATCACCGTCGCCTTTCGCGTAAATTGCACCGCGTTTAGCGGCCAAGTTTGCTTTCGAACGGCGACCGAACACTAAAATTACCCACTTCGAGGGTCTAGAAAATGACTGTCCCGCTCAAGGTCTCTCGTTATCGAAGCTGATCCGCGTTGCTCGTTAACGCACCCTCCGTGTCTCCCCGTTACCTACGCCATTGCACATCTGCGCGCTGATCTTTTCCAGTTACACAGGTAACCACTTAACCGGAGCCCGAGTGCCTCCGTGTACGCACACGCTGCCCCGAACGTCCGTGTAGCCATTAATTAGATTAGCATATGCCGGAAAAAGGAGCTATCCGCTTATATCCGCTCGTAGCGACGATACACCACTACCATCGCGGAGCTTGCTCGGTGCGTTAATGGCATTATAGGATCATCCGTGACTGCCTACAACCTCTATCGTGTATCCTTCGACCACTATACGACCCGATTGCAGCGATCCTGCGTCGCGTTTCTTCTACAGGGTTAATTTCGGAACACAGGCCTCGGAACTCTTCGATCCTGATATACAGCAACGTTTGTACCAAAGCCCCTGGCAAAACGATTTCCAATGTATCTACATATTTGACAAGCTATATTTCTAGGAAGCGGTGCAATGGTCTTTTTCTCCTACGATGCGATAAACGCGTGAAATAAAGTAACTGAATTCGAAATGACCCAAGAGAACCCTATCCGTTTCGGGGTTAAGTGAAATACCGCGACCAAGTAAAGCTCGCGGGCCGATGAAATAACGCAGCCGTCGGCGAATAGCAGTCGTAAATCATCGTCAGAAACCGGTAGCAAAGTCCCCGGTGAGTCTGTTTGCTTCTGGTTACCGTTGAAATCGATTCCCACCCTTTTGCTAGCGAGCAACCACCACCGCACGACGATACGATCTTCGCCTCGTACGCGTCGCGACGAAACATTAATAATTTCGTCGTCCGGGATTCCTTGGTCGCCCCACTTATTCCGCATTCCTTGAATACGGGGGGAGGGGGGAGGCGAAAGTTGCCGGATATCGAAGTCGACTACGCCACTGGCGCAACAAGAGCGACACAAAGCCGAGAGCGACGGCGCAAACTATTTATTTCATGGGCTTCCCTCGTGTAGACGACGGTCTCCCCTTTTAATGCTCGTCTCCGTGTGTGCGTATGTGTGTGTGCGTGCTGGAGAGCGCGTGTGTAAGTACCACTAGTCGTATATCAGCAGCCGCGGCTACATAAGGGGATCTGGTCGGTATGCGAGGAAGGCGCACAAGGCTACATAAGGGCCACATAATGTGCGTGGCCATGTGCATCCGCCGGAATGCGACGGCCTAGGTGAAATGCCTGGTCCCGTGCCAGATACTTTAACCTCGATTCACAATAAAACAGACTGGAGTCTTCTTTTCTGGCACTCTTACCAGAGGGGTCGCGATCTGGACCCGGCGCCTCTTTGAACGCTGTTACGGAGGAGAACACCGACCGTACTTGCGGACGAGAACAGTTTCTAGACCAGATTTGGACTAAAAAATGTGGGGAATAAATTTTTTCGAAGCTTTGTTTTCGAGAATACCGATTTCGAACGTCCGTAGAATGCGAGTTTGCAAACATTGAAAGCAGATATTTCCGATATCCCTTTTTTCTTATATACAACAACTTTATCAAGGAACAGAGCTTAAATACGTTTCGAAGATTTCACTGTAGAAGAATGTACGTGAAATTGCAAATGGCGCTTAATGCGTTAAGTTCGCTCTTTCGAACGGGCAACTTTTCTTTCGATCCGATAGAGCCAAACTGCGGGTCGCATCGCCTTCGAAACTCGAGTTCGTCCTTCCCTTCGCAACCCCTTATCAGCGGAATCTCCTCGGAGGCAATTCTCGATCGCCTTTTCGAATATTCACGACCGACGCTGGCTTTTAATTTCTCCCGAGGCGGTCTGGCGCTCCTCCCCCAAGGGCTTGTTCCTCGAGAATATTCACCGACCGATAATCCAGCCGCGTATTCTTTCCACGCTCGTAAATTCGCCTACGTCCCGCCTTCTCTCTCGTTTCCTTCGTCGGGTATCTGGTGGCCCGTTTACGTGCCGCTATACAGGGTGGTCCGCGAGAACAGTTTCGACGATTACCGTGGATATCGATTTTAGCGAACGTTCGAGCAACGGTGTCAATGATTGGCCTACTTTCGACGATCCTCGTAAATAATAACAATAAAGGAATACAAATGAAACAGCTCCAATTACGTTTCGATCCTCCACGGATCATCCTCGGAAATACAAAGTGAACGTAAGAGCAGACAATAATCGTTGAATTATAAACACGAATCGAAATCAAATATTCTACGTAATAACTTTAAATAAAAGAAAAAGAGCCGGTAATGCTCGTAACGATATCGAAGTACGAAGAATCAAGTAGCAAACGACGGATCGAGGTTGCCTGTTTCCCAAGGGCTTTAAAGCTGCTTAGATTCTTCCGGTATCACCCTGTTTTTGAAACACTGTACCCCGTTTATCTCCACGCTGTCGCGTTTATCTACGGTAATAAATGCGCCGGTTGAACAAAGACGCGACCCGCCCGCACCCCCCTTTGATTCCCAACTTTGTCCAGCTTAGGCTCCTCGGGTGGCGTGACTTTACGAGCGATGACAAAGGAGCTAGACCGATCTTACGATCATCCTACCTTGGCGCGACAAAGAGTCGAATCGCTCCAAGTCGAACGCGAATGGTTATACGAGCCATACATACGCGTTACGATTTCTCGTACGATTCTACTCGGTTCGACGGCGAACGAAAATCGTAAGAAATGGAACTATAACGGTATCGTAAAACTTGCCATACGAATCAAACGAACGATAAATTTATGCATGCAGATATATTTTTTCGACGACTCTAATATCACGTTACGACTCGGAAAACTTCCATAATCGAGGGAAGAATTGTTGGCGAATATCGGTCGCGGATACTCGCGTATCCACGTCACGATTCAGCCACCAAAGTGGAAAAAGATGTAGCTACACGGCCAGGAGATTATGCCCGACGGCGTTGCTGCACTTTACCGCGCTTCGTGAACAGACTTTCGATACCTGAACGGAGAGACTCGGTCAGGAAGATTACGAGTCGCGGGTTACGTTTTTTCGCGGAAATCGAGCGTGACATCGGGGAACCATTATCGAGGAAACCGGCCGACCGGAATGTGCTAACTCGCAGAAAGAAATTCGTTGCGATTTCGAGTCGCGACGCTGCGGAATAAGAGTCGCGACCGCGCGTGTTAGCCATATTTCTGGATTACCAGACCGGCGAAATAAATGTATTTCGTTTGTATTTCAGCCACGACCTGGAAGGAGGCCCCGAGGACGTCCTGGGAACGCCACACAGTTACAGACTACGCCCAGGATACAAAGTCCCGTGTCGCAGCATCTCGAAAAAGGTAAGACCGTTCGCTCGACAAAATAAGCACGTACAAGACAGAAATAGAATCCTTCGTAACAGCGCGACGGAATCATCGATGCTGTTCTTTTCATAGAGCCTCCCGAAGAGTAGGCGACTGACTATTAATTACCGTTTCGATCGATCTCGGAGTATGGCCAAGTTACTTTGTACAAGGGGAACAGTTCGAAAATGGTCAAACGACATTTTAGCGAGACTGACGCGGTTCCAGGGCGGTTAATTGACTTTTGACGTGGGCCAACCGTAGACCATGGCCCGCTAACAACGTTTGCGTAGCTCGTTCGAGGGTTGTATCGAAAAGGTTAGCAGTCGGTCGAATGTAGCTACCGACCCAACGCGTCCAAGTCTACCGCATGGTCGATGAAGCGAGGTCAAGTAGGGTCGTCGTCGTCATCGTCGCGGCAAAGCCACGATCGACCCGGCCGAAGGTCGGACAAGGAGCTTTCGGACGGCGGGGTCGTGTTCATTGATGAAGCTGATCCGGGAGACCGTGTGGAATCGGGGACCGTCTTAAAATGCATTGCCTCTGGGGATGGAGATGGCTCTTCGGAGAAAGGGTATAAAAAGAACAGGGTAACAAAAAGGGGGAGAAGAAGTTGAGGGGGAACGGGAAAAAGGGCAAAGAAAGCTCCGAACTGGAGGGATATATCTAGGGAGGCGTACGGTCGTGCCGAGGGGAATAAATGATTCGAGGAACAGGGAGGAACCGGTCCACAAACAAAAGACTCGTTGCCAGCTCCGGCTGAATCGCTGGTTTAAGGGATGCGGGGAGGAAGAAAGGAGCCCGTGGCTCGTAGGAGGGATTACAGCCAGGAAGGAAGTGCTGACTCTGGAGGGAGGAAGGCGTGCTGATGTTGATGAAACGGACTGCGGGATTCCGAAGTCTTTGTGTCCCGGGACGAACGTTTCTTAATCCCGTGGAACCAGCGCGTTCCTCCTCGATGTTTTTCTGGTTCCTTCGTTCGTCGCGATTCCTTCCTGTTCTCTGGGTTAGTCGAGTTTCCAGGCTCGTTTCGTCATCGTTTCGGTAGAGCGGCAAATAAATGTATTTCGGATCGATTCGCGAACAGAAAGAAAGCTGTCTCGTTTGGAAGTAGGACGTTCGCTGGTTTAAGCTCGACGAGCGTTCTCGGTTAATTAGAACTGGTTAGACGGTTGCTGGAAGATCGTTGTGCGTCGCATTCCCAGACGCACGGTGGTTTGTTCGGATAATTGCGGCCCCGTCGAGTATCGAAAGACGTCAAATTCTGGCGAAACTTTCCCCGTAATCCGATTTCCATCACCGTACGATGCACCAATTTATGGATTCGGTATATTTAATACCCGAAAGTTTGTTTCCGAAATAGTATTCGCTCCGGGAATTTAATAAAAGACAACCACGTGCCCCGCGAAGCGTGACTATTCCCAGAGAGCTTAAAACGAAACTATCGATCGAAGCTATTCCGATAGCTTTCGACTCGGTGGAACTAATTTGCAGGATCGATTCGTGAGAATGGGCAATATTTTTGAGCTTTTCAACGTTTCAACGTTTGCGTGTATCCGTTTATATCTTTCGAGCATTGACGTTCTCTGTATTCGAGCTCTTTTTCTGGACGGAGAGACAATCCAGTGGTCTTGCGTTCGTCGTTCGGTCGAACAGTCGTTCCTCGTCTAAGTTAGCAGCCGTGACCTGTTGTTTTTTTCTCGTTTCTCGTCCCCAGAAGCAGCAGGAAGCCCGATGAGGAACGAGCGCATCGCAAAAGTCCCCTTACGTCACCGGGCAAATATAACTGACACGATCGCTCCTCTATTTCTTCATCTCTGTTTCCTCCGTGGTCGGTCACCTCTTTAAACTCTCAAGATTAAAGCAGGGATGGGGAAACTGCGACCTACAGGCTCTGATCGTGCGAGCTGGTTGTAGAACTTTCAAGTTCCGATCTGCGAGTGCGTGAAACCGCGGCATTAAGCGGAGAATCAACCTTCGGTCATAGTCGAACATAGCTCTCGATCGTGAGATTTCTCGAGTTCCGCGCGGAGCGGATGGTACTTGGACGTCGATAATTTCCGACGGTTCGAAAAGCAGAAAATGTCTCCGGAGAACAAACCCGTTCCCTGATTTCCGAGGAAAGCGGAGAAATTTATGCCGTCGTTCCCGAGAACTTGTCCAGTGTTTCACGAGCAAAGATTCAAAGCCGCGATTTTTCTTTCCGCGAGCTACGAGGCACAGGCACGCGCTAATAAAGTAACGAGGACTCCTTTGAAGTGGGTCTGCGTCGCTGTAATTCCTCGCCTCGCCGTCCCCGGCTTTCTTCTCTTTTCTCCCCTTTCACCCCTCTCTCTTCCTCCGAAAATAAACGCACCGCGTAAAACGCGAACCGGATGACACGTTGCTGAAAATACAACTGCGAGGAGCCGAGCGTGCTCCGCGCCGGGCGATGATATTTCGTAGTAATTACAAGTGGAAACCGAGGGAACGAACCGGGAATTCTTTTCTAATTTCGACGCTAGGAAACCCCCTCGCCATGTAAATAATCTGCGAGAAAGACGGAGTTAAATAGGCACTGGTTCAAGATACGTCGCGCCAGTAATTAGGGAAACGCGAATCCATAGTTCCCTCGTTGAAACACTGTTGCTGGTGTGCAGTAGCTGCAGCAGCAGCAAAGATCTTAAATAGCAGCGAAAGAGGCAAGAGGAAAGAGACAGGGCATAGGAGAAACGGAGATTGCACGGAAACGAGATTGATAGTAGCGGTTACTGGTTGTGCGGGTTGCTTGGCAGCCTACCAATCCTGGTTGCAAGTCGTCGACACTTGTTCCTCTCCTCCCTTTCCCTCGTCTGCCAACTTTTCAAAGTCGAGAGCCGCGACCAACGGAGAGACTCGGTTTTCTCGTACCCGATCGCGAAAGAAACGCCGCTATAAAGTCTTCAAAGAGCACACCGTGAGAACCGACAGGAACTCCGCGGGAATAGCAAATCGCGATTTATTGGAAATCGGATCGGCGAAAGGCACAGCCAGCACTCTATGTTCGTTACAATCTGGCCACGACGTGGAATATGCCTGGAGGGTTGATGGAAAAGAGACGCGCAACGTCCAATCGATAAACGGGGTAAACACAGACAAAGAGTTCGATACGAACAATTTTTCCTATACATCAAACGATAAGATAAACAAATTAAAAATTTGTTTTTTCGGAACAATCGGTCAATACATATGTTGCACGATCTAACTTTGGGCAAAGGTCTGAACTTTAACCGAAAGAGCATTAGCAGCTACTGGCATAGACGCAGATGGTAGAGAAATGTTAGGTTCAATGGATTTTGAATTGGACAGTGTAGAATTATCGTCTCTAATGACCTGTAAATGCACGGCGCGAGGTCAGATGTTACCAATGGCGAAATTTCTTCGAACGAAGGCTCTAGACGATCCATGGGAACTGAACGGTCGGTCGGTCGCTTAACTTGGTGCATAGTCACTCTCGGCAAACATATCTTTATTAAATGGGAACATTTCTGGATTTTTGAAACTCTTCTCGATATTTATGGGAGACGGTGCTAATGACAAAACGTGCTATTTCTCAAAGTTTCAAATCATTACCACGTATCCCTAAGATTAGGCGAGGAAATTCGTCCGAACGGGTTGCTAGAAACGTGACCTAGCCATTCGGTCGCTTTAGGGCAACTGGTCGAAAGTTGACGTCGCGTCGGTGGTGATGTAGGTGCACACGTGGCGAGGGTGCACTGCGAACGGTAGATTAAAGCATCGTGTCAGGCCGCACGTGGGCGGTCAGTCATATCCCGTAATATATGCATTTAACATTAGGCGTGCAACGTATGCGCGATTCGAGAGCTAGGGAACCATATGTCGACGGGCACGCATCTGGCGGCCAATAAACGGCGCGCGTAGCCTGGAAATGACCTGGTAAAAAGCTGCTGTCGCTGTCTGGTCGGAATGTCTCGCATTTTCGACCAGATACCAACTATCTTAATTACTCAAAGATCTGTACTCGTACCGAGTATCGTGGGAAGGGTAGGATAACCGAGCAAGAAGTAATTCGAGGGCACCGGGGATCAAAGATTCAGAAACGTACATCTATCGATAGTTTCGCAGCGGGAAATTGGCGAGCGACGAGGCAACGCGTAGGAAATGCCGTGTCCGGTGAATGTATAATTCTGTGATCGATATCGGCCGTGTTGGCATACGCGTTCACGTATGCGCAGTTGCGCAACACCGTGACGGCCAACGGCAGGGAAAAGGGGGAACAGTTTTGCATTGCTTGGCCCGAATAGACACCGATCGCGGAGTCACGGTTCGCGAGACGAGCCGCGACTTTTCAATGAACCCGTTCCGACGACGTCGGTGAGTCATGCTCGATCGCGTGGCGTCGCGTCACCGCGATACTTGTCCACGTTGCGCCTTCCTTCGCCTTTTTATCATTGGCAACATTCTCCCTTTCAAGTCAATTACGCGTACACGCTTGGGCAAACTTTTCTTCGATTCGATTAACAAATCGTCCATTAACATTCTTGCTAAAATTAATGGGAATTAACGTTGAAAGTTGTAATAGTCGGAAAATGCAAGAAATACACGTGTAGATACCTGTCACGGCAGTTGAACTTAATTTACTTAATCATATACTTGGAAGTTTATTGCCCTATGTAATTTAAATACGAACGATGATAATAATCGAAAAAAGGAATTATCCACGAATTATCGTAGTAGATCGCAGATGCAATAATTATATATATAATAACGAAATTAATTGGATCATAAATGATAAAGCCACAAGATAAAGGCATTATATCGTAAAGCGCAGATGACCCCTCCGGACGATCTAGATGGTATATAAAATTTAATTAATTCCATATCAAGCCATATATTATTCTAATTAAGAATGGAATATTACCCTACTATGGGAGGAATCTTGTTCCGAAATATACCAAAAAAATTACGAACGACGAGAACAAATTTTTTATCGAAATTTTAACCGGCCGGACGATCCT